GAGAGCTTCAGAGTGGTCAATACCCAGAAGCACACAGGGATTCACCTTGCTAAAGGGGACAATAACTTTAGCAGACTTTCCCTAGCCTCACCTTTAAAGATAAAATTATTCTACTTGTAAACAATAATCCAACTTTAAAAACGCCAATACATTTACATGTAAAAATATAAACAGAACCTAAAACTGCTCTAAAAAAGTTTGTTTTTTTAATGTAATTATCCCTTATAAATAGGAACTTTTAAAAGTAACAGATTATAGCTTAAACTACCATATGTTTTTCTGTATCAGAATTAGCAAGTTCCTAACTAAGTAGGTCTCTAAAGGAACAGGACCTAGAACAGTTATATTAAAGTAGGCAGAGGGAGAGCTACGAGCACTTTCAGGAAGGGTGGGGGAGCAAAGTAGAGAATGTTTTGAACCTAGCCGACAGGTCAATAATAATCACAGTGGCTTATATTCCCTTCGCTCAGTGCTTACCATGAAATGGAAATGCTGAGCACATCATAGCCATTATTTCACTTAATTGCAAAGGCACCTATTCTATATGGCAATTTTATAAGGTATGAACTATTACTTTTCCCACTTTACAGATGAGTGCACTGAGGATTGAAGCTAAGTAACTCCCTTATCACAGAGCAGAATATATAAGTCCCGTCCTTCAAACTCCAGAGCCCACACAGTTCTCTACTAGCTTCTGCCACAGGCCACCACTGCTTAATTATCTTAGATATTTTGACTGTGTTGTGTTAGAACCTGTTCATTTGTTGGTATTGTTTAGTACTGGTATTAAACAAGAATGATCAATAGGCATTAAGACTGGTGTTTATGGGGGAGGGAAGCGGCCCTAACAAAGCCCGTCCAGTAGGATTCAATTAGGCAGAGTCACAGAGCCAGTTTAGACAATCTGTAGGTAAATATCTTAAACTGCAGAATTCAAAATAAGGCGTGGTGTGCTTGGGTGGCTCAGTCGGTTAAGCGTCCGACTCTTGATTTCAGCTCAGCTGTGATCTTGGAGTTGTGAGACTGAGCCTGGTACCAGGCTCCATGCTGCGTGTGGAGCCTGCTTAGGATTCTCGCTCTTTCCCTCCCTCTCCCCCTCTGCCCCTCCCTGCTCGAGCTCTCGCTCTATCCAAAAAAAAAAGCATGATTTGTCCTTATATCTGTAAAGCCACATTCACTATCTCAAATTACTAGAGAAACTTATTTCAGAACTCCTGCGCCTTACACAAGACTAGTTACAAGCTGGTCCCAACTAGTCTTTTTGTTGTTGTTCTTAATATCTTGATGTCATCTAAGATCTTATAGAATCCAACCTAACACATATTTTTTTTTAAAGATTTTATTTATTTGGCCGAGAGAGAGAGAGAGAGAGAGCACCCTAGCAGGGGGAGTGGCAGAGGGAGAGGGAGAAGCAGGCTTCCCACGGAGCGGGGAACCCGATGCGGGGCTCGATCCCAGGACCCTGGGATCATGACCTGAGCCGAAGGCAGACGCTTAACAACTGAGCCACCCAGGTGCCCCTCAACCAAGCTGTTTCTAAAAATCAAACATGTCCTCAAAGAAAAAAGACTTCTCCCATTGATATATTCTGATCATCGATAGCCAGCTCTGAAAACTATTTCAAAAAAGAAATTCCAAAAATGTTCCAGGAAAGGCATGTTTATCGGAATAAAAGAGAAAATAACTTGAAATTCATGGAGCAATCCCACGTGCCAGATACTACAGCACCTGTTTTCACAAACCTTTAACCTTTGTAACAACCTTGCAAGACAGACATTATATTCTCATCTTATGTATGAAGAAGTTAAGACTCAGAGAAGGAACAGACTTGCCCAAGATCACCGTGTTACTAAACAGTAGACTGGAATTCCAACCCATGCCAACCTGACTCTGAAATAAATGCTTTAATCCTTTTTCTTAAC